GTAGCTTTATTCATTTCAGACACAGCAAGAACAAAGGAAGTTAGCAGTAAGGAAGGGGACGACACAATGAGAACAGCCACGCCTCCATGAGAACGTAACCAGCCTTAACCCAGATGCGCCTGATGACAGATGTCAAGCCACGTGTGGCAAAAACGGGTCGAGCACAAGGAGAACGAGATGAATCCGCTATCGCAGCTGGAGGCTTCGGCGGCGCTGCCTCAGAGAAGGGTGGGCCCGGCGGAAAGGAGATCCGTAAGGACACAGTTGAACACGCCGCGGCCGCCCGCCACCTGGACACGAGGCACCGCTGTGGGCTGCAGCACCTGACGGCAGCAGGACGCACGTCCCTCTCGAGCTCGCGGGGGGCGCTCACTGAGCCACAGCACGTCCTGGGCCACAAACACACCTCAACCAACGTAAAGGAATGGAAAGCCTACGACGTCTGTTCTCGGACCACAGTAGAATTCGACCAGAAATCAGTGACTGAGAGAGAACTGAAATTCCTAACTACCTGGAGATTAGACAACACGCCTGTAAATAACACGTGGATCAAAGAAGTCTCAGGAGAAAGTTAAAAAATACTTGGAACTAAATGAAAATCTGAACTTAATCAAAATGTGTGGGAGGCACTAAAAGCAGAGCTCGGAGGGAAATTTACAGCATCGGATGCAGACTTCAGAAAAAAAAGATCTGAGATGAGTAATAAGAACTTCCACCTTAGAAACTCTGAAAAGGAAAGCATATTATACATATAAACCCAGAGCAAATAAACAAGAATATAATAAAAATTAGAGCAGAAATCAATGGAATTGTGGGGTGCCTGGAGGGCTCAGTTGGTTAAACGCCCCACTTCGGCTCAGGTCATGATCTCACAGTTCGTGGGTTTGAGCCCCGCGTCGGGCTCCGTGCTGACAGCTCGGAGCCTGGAGCTGTTTTGGATTCTGTGTCTCCCTCTCTCTCTGCCCCTCCTCTGTTTATGCTCTTTCTCTCAAAAATAAATAAAACATAAAAAAAAAAGAAAATTAAAACACTGACACTACTCAACTCCAAAAACTCCTACAAAGCCACCATGATCAAGACAACGTGGCATTGGTGACAGCATAGCAACTCGGAGGAGGTGACCACTCACGTCTGCATGACACCTGCACACGGATGCTCACAGCAGCTGGATCCATAACTGCCAGACCTGGGAGCCACAAGGTGTCCTCCGGGAGGGGACGGGCAGGTACGCTGGTGCCTCCAGTCACCAGGAAGGTCATTAGCGCCAAGAAGGAATGGGCCGTCAGTCATGAAAAGAGACCAGGATCCACAGGTACGTGTCACTAAGTGACAGCAGCAGGTCTGAAAAGGCTGCGTCCTGTAGGATTCCATCTGTGTGACGTTCTGGAAAAGCAGGAGCATGGAGACGGCGGGAAGGTCAGGGGCGGTGGGGGCTGAGGGGAGGGAGGCCTAGAGCACGGAAAACTTGTAGGGCGCACTATTCTGTAAGACAGCGTGGTTGGAGGGCGTGGCCTGACACACCTGTGCAAACCTACGGGGCGTGCACCACCAAGAGTGGGTCTGATGTGCACTGTGGGCTCCGGATGACGACGGCGTCAGCGTGGGTGTGTGTAAGAGGCGCCCTCACCGGGAGACAGTGATGACGGGGTGGGGGGGGGGCGCGGCACACGTGACGCAGCAGCAGGTACAGCCTGTAGTCTCCGGTCAGTTCTGCTGTGAGCCCAAGCCTGCTCTAAGACACAGCAGAGAGCAAACGGTGCTACCAAGGGAAGGGCTGCAGAAGAAAGGAACGCAGGAAGAGCAGGTGCCGCTCAGGGGTGGGGAGGGGGCTCCGGCGCTGGGCTGTGGGCAGGCGCCTGGATGGAGCTCTGCGCGAGCCCCATGCCCCGGCAGCAGGCCTCAGGGCTCCCCGCATCCACCGGCACTGCCGTGCTGGGCCTCCCACGCTTGGGGCTCCTGCCTGGCCCTGGGGAGACCGGGGCACGCTCATGAGGCTGGAGTCTTCTTCCCTGGGGGCCCCGGCCCGTGTAGAGGGCAGGCGACAGACCAGCAGCACGGAGTTACAGACCACGAGCTCACGGCAGCAGGCCACGGGTGGGGGTGGCATTAGAGCAAGGAGCTGAGGAGCCAAGGGGGCTGGGCTGGTGGGGGGAAGGGGCAGGGCCCGAGCCGCAGGCATCCTCCTCAGCCCATCCCCCGCGTCAAGGAGCTCCCAGGCACCGCCACCACAGCCCTGTCGCGGATGCCAGCCACGTCGCCTGTACCCTCGGCCGCCCCACGCCCGTGCCGCCCTTGAATTAACTCTCGGGCCCCTCCTCCCAGGGCTCTGTCTGGAACGTGTTCACGCACAGCCAGCCACCTCAGTGACCTGTCCCCTGCCTCTGGGACGCTGTCGACGAAGAGATGGCTGCACTCCCTGGGTGCTGGTCCCCTGGGGCCAAGCTCAGCCTTCCGGATGCTGGGATTTATTTCCAGAGCATGCGCTCCAGCGCGGGTCTTTCTGCCTGACCTTTCAGCGTGGGGCAGCCAGGGCCCCTCCCACAGCTGCCGCACAGACTAGGGGAGCAGGTGCGAGGGCACCGGGCTCTGGCACGTGGAGGCCACGCACACTGGCGGTCACATCTCCTTGCCGCGGTGGGATTTTAGGAGGAAAAACACGCGTGTGCCCTTCTGAACCAGGTGATCGGATACCTCGTATCCTTGAAAAGGTACAGGAGGGACGGCGGCGGGCAGCACGCAGAGCCGCGTGAGCACGATGCCATCACGGGAGCAGGTCCGTGGGGACCTTTCCTCGCGTCCTCCCCTCCCGGGAGGCACAGCGAGAGGAGGTGAAACCCACCCAGCCTGCCACTTCCCGAGCACGGACTCCGGGGCCTGCAGCACCTGATGTCCCCTGAGCCCCGTGGGGAGATGCCGCAGGCGGGCGGAGGCGGGAGGGGGCTCCAGGCGGCGCCAGCGGCCACCCCTGCTCCCGGGGGGGCCGTGGCTGCGTGGGGCAGGCAGGGACACCCGGGGAAGGCAGGGATGGGCCTGCACAGACCCTAGGAGGGTCTGCTCGTCAAGGCCCCTCGAAGGAGAAAAGGCCAAGCGGAGTAAACAGGTGTGGCCCACGTACCAACAGAGAACGCGTAGCCAGAACGCACAGAGGCTCCAAACGGAGAAGCCTAAACATGTGCTTCACCAAACCACGTCAGGCCAAGAAATAGGCAGAAGGCGACTGGCCTCGGTGGACATCAAGGAGACACCAGAAAAAGCCACAGGCCACACCGTCCACACCCACCGCGTGGTGGAGAGGACACAGACGAGGGCTGCCAGGCCCAGGCGCCACATGCATGCTTGTGGACCTTACCCACGAAAGCCAAGCTCGAAACATCCCTGCAACTCAGAGGCCTCCCCGCTGGAGGAGTATGTGCGTATGTACGGAACGAGGGTCTCAACAGACGGGTTTTAAGAGGGGGGCTTATCTTAGGTGACCTGACCTCTGATGGCCCCGGAAGCTGCACAGGGTGAGGACGACCCCAGCTAGTGTGACTACTGTCCATGGGGGTGCCCAGGGGGCTCCTGCTTCAGACTGCCCGAGAATGCAGTTCCCACGAGGAAGGGCCAGAAACGCCAAGGCCGGTGGGCACAGATGCCCACGGGGGCAGGGGGGGCATAGTATCAGGCATCACCGCCTTGTCCACGAGCCCTGCTCCCCGTGCTCCCCTCAGTGCCGGGAGCCGCACCGGCCTCTCCGGAAGGCAATCACAGCAAGGAAATGGCAATGTTTGCAGCTCCTACCATGAGAAATGAAAACTGGGATCTCCTTCTGCTACTATTGGCTCAAGTTGGATATAAGCCTGCTGGTATTGACCAGGCCTCACTATATTCCATATCAGACCCATATTTTGAATACAGATACATCATAAGGAAAAGCATATTCTTGGCTTTACAAAAGAAATTTTGGATGAAAACTCTATGGGGAAAATTGTCAAAAGGCTCTTCCTATGGGCCTTGCAGATCCGAGACTTAGGGGGTTAAGAACATAAGAATTACAACTGAGCCTGGCCCTGCGACCAAGGGCCTATTTTGGGGTTAAGAGCAAAACATAGTTACCACATATATCTTTGCTAATAGGTGAAACATAACAGTCCCTTCCTCAAGGCCTACTTTCCACAAACACCCTCCCTTACACTGGCAGCTGGGATGAGGATGGATAAGAGTAGCTAAAACATAACCCAGGGGCAAAAGACTGACCCATTCAGGGCCCCCAGGTTAGTCTCCACAAACAAACCAATTCAGGAACATTCATCCTCTCGAGAGCCAGACAAAATACTCCTAACTTATCTACATACAATTTGACCTATAGGTTATCCTGTTTTTGACTAAGAACATTCTGTTATTTCCTTGGTCGGAATAATTCTACTACTGACATCACAAAAGGCCTCCCATTGTAAGAAATTCCTTTCTATGACTTCATCTTGTTGCTGAACCTTTAAATAAAGACACAAAACCCGACAGGACAGAGATGCCTGCCTGGTGATCAAAAAGAATCTCTGGGGCTCTCTCACTTTCTCTCTCTCTCTCTCTCTCTTGCCGACACGGTCCATCCTTCAGGGACCGCTGGACCTGCCGGAGCCGGCCTCCGGCACCTCAGGCCCGGAGGACCATCAGGCTCGTCATCACTCACCCATTACAGCAGAAGAGTGCGGTGAGGGGGGTGGGTGCCCCGTGCCCAGGCCGGCACCCACACGGTTAGCGTGAACTGTGCCGCACTAAACGGCCTGCTGTGCTGACCCTGGCAGCTTCCTCAAAACCAAATAAAGCACAAACATGCTTTGGCGTCTGCGTGGGGGGTACCTTCCCGGGGGTCCCAGGAGGCAGACGAGGAGGGGGGCACCTTCCCGGAGGTCCCAGGGGGCGGACAGGGGGGTGTGCCACAGGGGACACAGCCTGACCTGCACCGGGGGCCGCCCTCAATGTCGCTCCCCACAACAGAAGCACACGCACGACGACAGACGCCAGCTGGTGCGGCTGCAAGATGCTTTATTGCCCCTGCTCTGGACGTCTCACTCCGGCTGTGCTCCTGGCCTGGGACCAACTGACAGTCATGCCCAGCGGACCGACCACACGGACGGGCTGCCACACCCTCCCTTCCTTTCTGGAAAGCTCGAGCCCTCGTCTGTGCTCCCGAGGGCCAGCTTCAGGAGGCCCGACGCGCGGCCGCCACGGCGTCCTTCGGGAAAGCTGTCGCTCTGGCTGGCCTCAGGGGTAGCCCCTTGTCCCTTCAGCGCGTGTCACTCCAAACGAGAGAATTCTCCGTTGCTAAGGAGCACAGCAACGTGGCTGCCTAACTACCAGACCCATAAACTTAGAACTCCTTCCTCCCCAAACACCAAGTGCCCTACAGCCGGCCAAAGTGAAGCGTGTGGGATGTGCTCCCCGACTGTCTTCCTGAAAGAGCAGGTCCCGTTTTAATCTCTGGTCACAGGAGGACTCTCGCCGTTCCCGCCCCGAGGCACAGAGCAGGCTCCAGCTGCCAGTTCGGTGTGGGCCCCGCCTGCCTCCGCCCTGCAGACTGAAGCGACCCTGGGGACTCCTCTGGAGACACAAACCACCTTCAGATGAGAGCAGACTGGAAGCCCTGCCCCAGGCAAGGAGCACAGGGGACAGGCCACCAGCTCCACCTGCTGGGGGCGGCGGGGCTCACGGCGCTGTCACTTGCCACAGAGTTCCAGCACCTTCTGCACCATGGCCCCGATCCCGTCGTGGATGTGGTGCAGTGCCGTCTCGCACATGAAAGCCGGGGTTGTGACCACCTTGTTCTTCTGGTCCACGTGAGCTTCGTGCACAGAAGTTACGGGAAAACATCACCAGCAAGGACCAGCGGGTGGCAGGTGTGAAGCGCCCCCACCCCCCAGAGCGCGCTCGCTGTCCTCAGTGCAGCTCCAAATGGGGGTCCTTCCTGCCGCAGGGCTATCGAAAGGGCCCTCGTCCCGTGCCACCCGCGCCCCGTAACCGGAGCACATGCACTGCCGACCTCAGCCCCCCGGGGGCCGAGGCTCTCCCGCCCGCAGACCCAGGCTGCGTGCACAGGAGCGCAGGCAGCCCCGCAGCGACCCCCCTGCTCTCCAGACCCGACACCAGAACAGAGCGCGCTCCTAGTGGCCGCCACGAGAGGCCCATGCAGCCCGGGACCCTCTCTCAGCACAAGCCGAGCTCTCGCCCTGGTCAGGCAGACACCAAGCAGTGATGGGGCTGGCCCTGCGTCCTCCCTACAGCATGCTCCACCCTCCTGGACCCGCTCCAAAGGGCCCCGGGCAGCTCCCCCCCCAGCAGCTGCCGGCAGGCTGGCCACTCTGTGCAGGGGGGAGACAGAACACTTAACTGAAACCGTCCATAACCCAAAATGCCCTCCAAGGAGACCAAAGCACCTTCCAGACACACACCCAGGGTCACGGTGTTGTCGCCAGCACCTTATGGGACACTGTGCTGCTCTGTTCCTCGGGTCTGGGTCCAGCCGTTGAGCTGGATTGTGGTCGGCCCTGGCCTGAGGCTCTGTGCCCACAGCACTCGGGCACCCGCAGGAGGATCAGGGGCCTCTGAGGCCACCCAGGCTGGCTCCCATCCACACCACCCAGGGAACCTCCACCAAAGCCAGGAACCGCCCCTCCCCCCTGCCCCGCCCCGTACTTCTCCCGTCCACCGCCTCCACCCCACCCTGGGGCTTGAGCTCACTCCCCACACTGGCAGGCAGCTCCCAGCCTCCTGGCCAGAAAGTCATCCCTATGGAGCCTGAGGCTGACCGCTGGCCCTGGGGTGCACCTGACCCAGCAGGCAGCCAGCAGGCACACTGGAAACATGGCCAGGGGACAGGGACACATATGTGACGGCCTGGGGCCCTATGTGCTCCCCGATGCCCCCGGCAGTGCCGCTCCTGGTTCAAGAGGCGGCCTGCCCAGGGCAGCCCCCAAGGCCAGAGGAGGGTCCCCACGCCAGCGCCACCGCGGCCTCCACAAAGGATATGGTCACTGCCTTCACACAGTGCTTGGCGCCCAGGGCTTTGATGGCCTCTGCTGTCCCCGCGTAGGGCCACCTGCCGCCTTCCTCCTGCTCGTGGCCCACGGTGACCTCGACGCCGCGGAGCACCTTGGCTGCGAGGACGGGAGCGATGCAGCACAAGCTGAAAAGTGAAGGACAGGTCAGCTCTGCACCACAGGAGACGCCAGGCCAGCGGGGGGGTCAGCTCTGCACCACAGGAAACGCCAGGTGGGGGGGGAAGCGGGGGGGCAGGGGTGCAGCTCTGCACGGAGACCCTCCCCGCCCTTGAGAATGGGCGCAAACGCTGGCCAGAGCGTCTGGCTGCTGAGAGGGGGCGCACATGGCCAGCAGGGCGAGGGTGCCACACATGCCGTGAGCCTCACTCTCCGAGGGGCCTCAGGCGGGAGCACCCCGGAGCCCAGTGGCTCTGCCCACACCGGGCCCCCGGGCGCCATACCCCACATCGGTGCCCTGCCCACATCACTGTACGCTCAGGGGACACACGTGGCATCCACCATCACGGCTACAGGCCGGGCCACCCCGTCGTGTGGCTGTCGGGCACTGCCCTCCCCTCACTTGGGCCCACAGCCCTCCCAGCTGCCCCCCGGGCCTCCGGCCCCCCGCCTCCAACGGGGCCTCCCCTGTGCCTCATCTGCAGCAGCGCCTGCCTGGCTCCCCCACACTGCCTTTGGCGGCCCCGCGTGGAGGCTATCCTGACAAGCTGTGAACAAGTATCATCAACACAAACTGACACGACAGCTAAAGAGACGGGCGTGAAGACCCGGGCGTGCAAGGAGCACGCAGGCCCAGAGGAAGGCGTCGGGAATGGCGCTCGTGTGTGACTGGCTCCAGCCTGCCCCGAGGGAGGACAGAAGGCAGAGGCTGGGAGAGGGGAATGAGCACTGGAAAGGGCTGAGGTCAAGGAAGGACTGAGAAACCCTCTAGAAGCTCTCCTTCCTGTTAAGTCACGCCAAGAGATACCGACCTAACCACACAACAGAATTTTCCGAGCTGGAAGGTGCCTAGGACGTCCCGTGAACCCCGCAGCAAGAGCAGGCTTTCAGGACGGTGCAGCCCTGCCCTCCCCACCCCACCCCTACGCACCCGATGGGCTTGCCAGCCTTGTGGAACTCCTTGAGGACGCGCTCCACGTCTGCGTGGACTTTGCAGTCTTTCCCATCCACGGCGAACGTGCTCCTAGCATGAAAAGAGGGCTCTCACAGCGAGGTGTCCGCCTCTGGGGAGCCTGCAGCCCCACCCCGCAGGCGGGACGTGGGCTCCGCTGAGTCCCCGGCACCTGAGACCAGCAGTTCACGTGTGTGCACGTGGCGGTTCGTACAATCAAACTCCCGTGTTTTTTCTCCTTTCAAGTCAGAAAAAAGCAAACACGGCAGCCGAGGGGGGTGGCACATACCGGAGCGTACCAACGGCGACAGGCACGCAGGCCACGGGTCTCAAGCCAGTGACAGGCCCTCCACTGACGAGGCAGTGGGGCGCAGGGGAGATGAGACACGGCTTGTCACCACAGCGAGGGCCGTGGAGAGTCGAAGATGGCCTCCTCCTAGAGCCCCGGGGGTGCGCCCACACCACTCTGGGAGGCAACTGGCCACGCCCACCAAACCCCAAAGCACACGCTGTCACGAGCCCCGTTTCTGGGCTGTCTGCTTAGCTTGGGCTGCGGTGGTTCCTGTCAGTGCGGCTCCGCGCAGCCTCCGGAGCCCGAGGCCCCCGACAGCTGCTCAGGCCCCCACCCCGTCCCCTGCTTTGCTGCAGGTGAAGAGCAGAAGAGCCCAGAACACGCACAGGTTTTTGGCGGCTCCGAAGCCTCCGGGGAAGATGGCAGCATCGTGATGAGCCGCGCTGAGCTGGGCCAGGTTGCTGATCTTGCCACGGGCGATCCTCGCTGACTCGGTCAGGACGTTCCTGGGAAAGGGCACAGGAGAGGCCTGAAGCCAGCTTTAGCCTGCAGACCGCAAAGCGGGGAGGGGAGGACACCACCACGGGACCGGATGACACGTCCTCGGGCCCAGGGAAGGCACTGGCACTGGCACCCGAGGTCAGTACCTAGAAAAGGGGGCGTGGCTGCCTGGAGCGCGTGGAGCACGCAGAACTGGGGCCTGACGAAAGGACAGGGCGGGGGAAGGTCAAGGTGCCGCACAGCGGCGAAGCCATCCGGGGTCAGCCGCGGCAGGCGCTGTGGCCCCCTCCCCAAGGCTGTGCAGCCCCCAGGAGGAAGAGGGCCGCCTGTGTGAACCCAGCCGGCGAGCACGGCCGGCCCGGGCCGGAGCACGACTGCAGGAGAAGGCGGGCTCCGAGAGTGCCGCCCGCACGTGCCTCCGGGACAGGCGCCACCCCCCCCCCCCCCCCCCCCCCCCCCCACCCCGAGCCAGCTCGGAGGCCTGGGGCCCAAACAGGTGAGCGAGGCAGGGGACCAAGCTGGGAGGCACAGCCTAGATCAAAACAAAGGTAGGGGGGTGCCTGGCTCGCTCAGTCTGTAGAGCGTGTGACTCTTGCTCTCAGAGTCGTGAATTCAAGCCCCACTGAGGGCAGAGACAGTGCAAAAGAAAAAACAAAAACGTACGAGTTGGTCAAAACAAAGATAGAAGGAACTTAGCTGGAATTTTCTGGCCTTCCCGTGTTTTGGGAGGCATCAGAAGGCAACAGCACAACAGCATGACCACAGAGCAGCCATCGGACGGGGGCTCTGAACGCCTGAGCTCAGAACTCGGAGCCCAGGCAGAGGCCCGGCCGAGAAAAAGCAACCCAGCACGCAGGCTCGCAGGCTCTGGGGGTTTCTGTCGGGTCGCGGCCACACTCCAGGACGGAGGGGCAGGATCACACCTGGTCTCGCTCTCACAAGGCTGCCCATTGGTGTGGTCAATCACGTGCATCTGAGGGATGTCAGGAGCGAAGATCTGGACCTCGGCGCCGCCGCGACTCAGGTGAACCAGTACCCTGCGTGGAAGAAGATCACACGGGCTCTGAAACCCGCCCAGCCCAGCCTCCCCTGTTAGCGCGTCTCCACAAGCGGGGTGTGCAGAGCGCCCCGCAGAAGCCGCTCGTGTGCGCTAACATCCTGTCTGCTTTGCAAAAAGTTACAGTGGCCTGCCGATGTCCTGCTGGGCCACAATCCACATTCGCTGTCCCTGAACTAGCCTGCAGAGCCCCGCCAGCCCCCTAGCTCCCTGCACCGCCGGGGCGCAGGGTCGGGTGATTCGACCGGTGCCACAGCCTGGACCTGAGGCCGCTTCAGGGTGGTCGTCCTCACAGGCCGCTCCACGCAGCCCTCAACGGTCTCAGGGGCTTTTGGTCATGACACCCTCTCTCTCCCCCGCTGCCGTGACAGTCACAGGGCTGGGAGAGGGACGTGCAGGTCTCCCCCAGGCTGCTCTGCGCCAGGCACAAGTCCAACCCTGTCCCAGATGCGGGGCTCTCACGCCCCCCTTTCAGAGGAGACGTGAGGTGCGTGACCTGGTAGAACCACGCCGGTGCTCAGGCTCTGGCCCTTGTCGCCCGCGGGGCTCCCTGCCCGCACCCGGAGGTTCCACGCAGTCCGCCTGCCTCCTCGGAAGCCCCCCTGGCCCTCTGCCGCCCGCCCGCCAGCTGTGCCCACTGCAGTCCGGCGCCCACACCAGCACACGCAGGCTGGCACAGGACCGGGAGGGGCCGCGGGCTCCCCCTGCCCTTGGGACGTGCGTGTTCCTTAACCATGACCTGACTCCCCGCCCCCCGCCCCGCGCTTGCTCCAGGCCTGAGCTGACCAGCCCTGCTCACAGAAACCTTTTTTAATAACACATGCTGAGTGACGCCTGACGGGTCACATCAAAACAACTGCCTGCAGCCGGAGGCGCGTGCCTCACAGCCTCCTTTTAAAAACTTTTTAAGGTTTATTTCTTGAGACAGAGCGTGAGCAGGGGAGGGGCAGAGCGGGAGGGAGACGGAGAATCGGAGGCAGGCTCCAGGCTCCGAGCTGTCAGCACAGAGCCCGCCGTGGGGCTGAACCCACAAACGAGCGATCACGACCTGAGCGGCGATCACGACCAGATCCACGCCGGATGCTTAACCGTCTGAGCCCGCCCCCGGCTCAACACCTGAGTCATGACAAGGGGCTGAGCTCAAAGTGAACCAGCAGGTGTTAAAAAACGCCGAGTATGGGGGCGCCTGGGTGGCTTAGTCGGTTAAGCGTCCGACTTTCGCTTAGGTCATGATCTCGCGGTTCGTGGGTTCGAGCCCCGCGTCGGGCTCTGTGCTGACTGCCAGCTCAGAGCCTGGAGCCTGTTTCAGTCTGTGACTCCCTCTCTCTCTGACCCTCCTCTGCTCACGCGCTCTCTCTCTCTCTCTCTCTCTCCTAGAAATAAATAAAAAATATTAAAAAAAAAAACAAAAAAAAACGCCGAGTATGAAACGGTTCTCTCGGGGTGACCACCCTACTTCGGGACTTCGAGAACTTCTCGGGCTCCGCTACGCACGCCCCCAGCGGCTCAGGAAAAGGCAAAGGGGGCTTGAGGCGCTTACGCTGAGGCCTCGTGCAGCTCAGTCCCGTCGTAGACTCCGCATCCAGACAGCACCTGCGGGGCAGCGCGGGGGTCAAGGGGAGTCCACCTGGAGGCAGCCGGCGAGGGGCGTGAAGAGGGGACTTGCATGGGGGGCAAGAAAAGGGGCGGATCTCTTGGACGAGGAGATAGCGGACAGAGGTGAAGGAGGGCTAGGGGGCGGCCCCGGAGTGGGGGCGGGGTGAGGAGGGCCCTACCTCGGGAGGGGGAGGGGAGAAGGCAAGGGGGGCGGGCCCGGGGGGAGGCGGGGTGAGGAGGGCCCGACCTCGGGAGGGGGAGGGGAGAAGGCTTAGGGGGGCGGGGTGAGGAGGGCCCTACCTCGGGAGGGGGAGGGGAGATGGCTTGGTGGAGGCGGGCCTGGAGGGGCGGATGAGGGGGACCCCGACCCCGGGCGGAAGTGGGTGGGAAGGGGCCGTGACCTCTGGCGGCAGCCGCCCCAAGCCCGCCCTCCGAAGTCCGCTCACCAGCGCGACCCTGGCCCCGGGCCGCGGCGCGGAGGTGTGGAGGGCCGCGCGCGCGGTGGGTGCGTGAAACGGCGCGAATGCGTAAGCCGCCGCTAGCCTGGGAGCCAGCAGAACCCTGACCGCCGCCATGACTGCCCGGGGACAGCGGGTCGCAGGGTCAGGTGGTCACGGAAGTTCGCGCGGAACGAGCGTGCTTCGCGCCTGCGCACAGAGCGCCCGGCCCAGACTCCCGTGGGCGCGCCGGTGGGCGGGACCGCGCCTGCGCACAGCCGGCCCGGCCCGGCTCCTCCCGCGAGTGCCCTGCCGGTGCGCTGCGTGAGTCGGCGCATGCGCGTCCCGCCGCCCCGGGGCTGCCGCCGCCTTGGGCTTGGGGTCCCAGGCCCCCGGGCGGGAGGCACTCCCCGCCCAGCTGGGGCGGGCCGTGGGACCCGGGTCGGGAGCGGCTCGAGGCTGGCCGAGAGTCAGACTCCAGGCTTCGGTATTGCCAGCACTCCTGGGAGCAGCTCCTTGATGGAGAATAACCCACGTTCACATTTCAAGGCCTCATAAACGTCGGTTTTTTTCGTTGTGTTCGAATCGGGATCCGATGGGAGCCCCCCTGGAGCGACGACAGCCACAGGGGATGTGTTTTCTGCTGGGGGCCTGCACCGCCTCTGATGCCGTGTCTCCACGCGTGAAATCCCGGCAGAGCGGGGATACCGGGACTTTGTCAGGGACTAGCTGGCATGCTCCCGTTAAGGACGGCTAGTTGTCCCGGAGTCAGTCCACGTGAACCTCCTGGAAAAGTTTTAAATTATACTTTCCCTTAATCTGTCAATTTGCAAGCTAACAGGTGTCTAAGATTATATATAATCTATATCTATATATAAAATATATATCTATATAATCTATTCATTTTTGTGAGAGTGTGAGCGGGGGAGGGTCAGAGAGAGAGAGGCACAGAATCTGAAGCAGCTCCAGGCTCTGAGCTGTCAGCACAGAGCCCAACGCGGGGCTCAAACCCACCAACAGAGAGATCATGACCTGAGCAGAAATCAGATTTAACCTGTTGTGCCCGATTCGCGAGCCCCAGAGACCTCCAAGGAGCCGACACTGATGCAAGTACAAAAGGGTCTTTATGACAAGCTCGAGCAGGGGCTCACCCGCCTGCCGGTGTCGTGGCAGCAAGGTGAAGCCAAGAACAATAGCGAACAGGGTTTTTAAGGAGTAAGGGACGGGGGTGTTACAGTACGTGTAGCATCATCACATAAGCACCAATTACAATTACAGCTTTGACCAGTATCTGTGAGGTGTTCATTCCTTTTGGTGGGACCCAATCATGACTTTTGAGAATCCTTTGAAAATGACCAATTATGAGGTGAGTTTAAAGGGCCCACGTGGGGTTTAGGCCAGCAGTGAGAAATTGGCTAGTTTGTATCTGCAGTTCCCAGCCTTGATTCAGACCATAGGAATGTTTTTTTTGATTAGCTGAACTGAGGGCGGTCCGAGGATGGCTTTAGCCTTGAGCAGTCTGAGATTGGGACTGGGATTGGGGCTACGTGCAGCCCGAGGTTTCTCTTAACGGAGGACTTCATTTTTGGCTTTTCAAACCCACTGCCCCACCCAGGTGACCCAAGATAATGTGAATGGTCACTATTGGAAACCATTGGAAAACTGTAAACACATTGTGCATTTCAACCCGAGGCTACCACTGTCTTTGATATTTAAATTGTTCCATTTTTAAGGCTTATAGTAAATCTCTGCACGTAGATCTGGGAAACTACAGTAACAAATTCAGGGTATTATAAAAGTACCAAAGATGAGCTTGGAACAATCACAGTCTTTATTCCTGAGCCTTCAACGATGACCCCTCCATTTCTACAGATTCCAAGACAGCCATTCTCAATCCTTTCCCTGCAGCTGGGAGCTCTCCCTGGGGATCCTGGGGGACCAGCGGGTCCATTCATTTCTCCCCTCAGTGTCACCTCCAGAACATGAGGGGACAAGAGTAACAATCACAGGGATGACGCTAACATGCACTCTGTCTACACTTGTGGAAGGGGAGTGTGACAATGCAGATTCTGATTCGGTAGGTCTGGGAGCCGAGCACCTGCCTTTCTACCGAGCGTGTCTCCAGGACCCCCTCCCGTTCCTCCGTCCTCTCCAGGATCTGCTCGGCTGCACTCTGTTAACCTTAAACATAAGTCTGCCGGTTATTGTACAACCGAAAATGGATTTGTCGGAGACGGGACCCCTGCCACAAAACAAACCATAGCCAACCCTTGGGATGGTGCAGAGAAGGCTCATTTGTAGAGTAAGGGCGGGGGGTGTTGTAAACAGAAAGTACGTTGGAGTAAACCGGAAGTTGGGAGCGTAGCGGCCTCTCATCGGCCGGGCCGTTGCCGGGCGGAGGACAGGCTCTCCCCAGTGGGGTCTGCCGCGGAGCAGTGGCCACGGGGCTGAGTGCCTCCCCTGCAAACCTCCAGACTGCACTCTAACCAGAGCTCCCACGATTAGTGTTCACAGCTTCAATGTGCACACGTGAAACTTAGCAGAAAAAGCAGAGGCGAGGAGTCGGGAAGGCCGGCCGGGTTTCCGGTCTCCGCGAGCGTGGGGAGAACGGTGGGCACATGCACTGTGGGTGAAGAGCCGTGGTTACAGGGCCCCCAGGCGCACGCCCCACCCGCACCCAGCCCTGCAGGCCTCCCGGAAGCCAGGCGTGGTCCCGGGACTCGTGGGCCACAGGCTGGGCCCTAGCGGATGTGACACCCGCATGCTGTCAGGGAAGAACCGCTCCGGGTCTGCCCTGCTTCCTGACCCTGCAGGCGCTACTGAGCCCCAGGGACCAGCCCTCAGCTGGGGAGAAGCTGGCCCTGCTCAGTGACCCTTTCAGGGGCCTTGAAGGGAAGAGCAGCTCGTGTCGCCACCCCTGAGCTTGCGTGAGCACGACACAGCTGGCCCGGCCCGCCTCAGCCCCCCTGCGCAGGTGTGAGCTCTCCGACACCCGCCCGCCTCAGGCCCGGGCCTGGCAGCGCCCCTCCAAGGTCAAGAGTACATAGACTCCCAGGCGGCAGCCCAGGCTCCCGGCCGCAAGGGCGATCCCACTGCCCAGCTCACCCACTCCCCCTGCACAAGGTGGCCAACGGGCAGGGGACCCCACCCCCCTGCATGACCCAGGACACATTATACATGTTTTCAATTCAGACTTCAGGGTTAATCCACTTTTACTGTAGAAACCTCATCGTATTAAAAATATAAATAATAGTCCTACAAAATCTGAATCTATAAAAATGACCCCTTTCACTTTTGTGAAAAGGCGCTTTCAACAGGAGGTGAGCAACACCCACTGTCACTGTGCCGGTCCCCGGCCTGTGTGACAGTGTGACAAGCCTGTGCTGGCCGGAAGCAGGCAGCTCTCGCCGCCGCGTGTGGTTCTCATGGGAACAGCGAGTCCTCGTGTCGGGGTGTCCGCGGCCCTCGGCCGCCTCCCCACTCACTTCCTGGGCCCCGGCCGCGGGGCTCCACGTCTTCCGGGGTCTTCACCGAACACACGGCGGTGCAGCCGTGGCTGGCGCTACACCAGCTGTCCCTCCCCGTCCTCCTGTCCGTCCCCCAGCAGGTGCAGACTGTCGTCGTCGTCGGACGTGTCTGCTTCCTCCTCGCTCCCCGGCGGCTCTGAGGGGCGCTTTATGCCCCGCTGCTTGGAAAGTGCCAGGGCGAACTGGATGTTATAGCGATTCCAGTCACAGCTGTGAAATCACACGGGAGTCGCGTCAGTAAAGGCAGCAGCCTCTCTATCAAGACTGGGACTCACCCGGCACCCAGCCACCTTCTCTGGGAGCCTGAGAAAAACCACACCAGCCCCCCACCTGACCTCGGAACTCGTTTCTGACCCACCCAGCCCTGCAGGAGTGGTGGCCTTCAAGGACCCAGCTATAAGACCTGCCCCTTCTGGTCTGTCCTCCCCGCCCCTGACCTTCCTGGACCCCATCCCTTCCCGACAGACAGCTTCGCCAGTCCCAGCAGACACGGGGGGGGGGAGGTGGTGGTGGTGCAGAGCTTCAAGGTCTTTTAGAGAGCAGAGAGGGACGCTCCCAATCAGGTCATGCCCCACGTTAACAAAAGAAAGGAAAAAAATCACACTCTTGTCTCCATGTCGGCAGCCACCCAATGAGAAAGAGCTAAGAGCTAAAGGACTAGTGAGGTGGGGGGCCTGGGTGGCTCAGTAACGACTCTCCATCTCCGCTCGGGTCACAGTTTGTGGGATCGAGCCCCGCGTCCAGAGCTGGCTCGGGACGCTCTCCCCTCCTCCGTCTGCTTACGTGTGTGCACTCTCTCTCTCAAAGTAAGTAAACTTTAAAAACAAACAACCCCCCCAAATCTAGGTTTGGCAACCTAACCGGAGCCTCCTCCCCAGTCGATACACAAATGCCAACTGCACCCTTTGCGACAGCAGCAAGTGCCCACACGTGGGACTGAGTCCAAGGAACAACGCATGTGTCGTGTGTTTCTGTGAACACCAAATAACCAAGAATCAACCTCACGAGAGGCCCTTGAAGGTTTCTCAGACTGAGCTCTGTCAAGTCACGGAAACCTCAACAAAGAGAAGGCTCTCCTGCGCACGTGGCAGGAGCGACACAGACCCCCCCCCCCCCCCCCCCCCCCGGTATCCCAGTGGGCGGCCAGGACCCGGGAACAAAAGCCTTCAGGAGAAAGAGCTTGTTTGAAGCTGAAGACTGAGGAAGTGGGTCAAGGACAGACAGAGGCCCCGCCTCTGAACACGGGGCAGTCAGCAGCAAGGACGGAGAGCACACTTGGGAACAGAGCTGGGACACCGGGACGCTGACCCTGAAGACCGAACCTCAGACCCAGGCTCCCTGCGTGCCGTCAGCGGGCCCAGGAAAGGCCCAGCGGTGACCGCAGCTGCCACGGCTCAGCTCAGCCTCAGGGCAGGGGCACAAGCTACAGGGACCACAGATGAACCGCCCGGTGACAGGACGGAGGCTTCTGACCGCGCACAACACGCCCTCCAGGCTCGGCTGAGCGCACAGGCACTCGCTTCACTGGGAGCCGGCCCCAGCCGGGCCCCAGCCCCAGCCCCCCCGCCCCGAGTCCCACCGGGTGGCCCGGGCGCGCCCAGCTCCTCAGGGAGGGGGGGCGCACCTCCCAACGTTCCGTCCCCAAGACGGACGACACGGGGGGCAGCG